TAGCATACAATTAGTATAAGTATGTACTAGAAAGTTCCTGGAGAAACTTTGATGGCACTGTCAGACTGCCGCCGATTAAAAGTTTTGACTTGACAGTACTATGTGTTGGGGTTCACTCTCAGCTACCACTATGCCGAATTTTGGCTGAATAGCTCTAAAAATGACCGAGTTAACATATTTTTTCCCCTTTTATCTATGGTGGCCATCTTGGATTTTTGATTTGGATTCAGTATGTGATGGGAAACATTCTCATCTATCACCACACAAAATGTTAGCTCAATATATCTAAAATTAGCTGATTTATAGTATTTTTCCTTTTTAGCTCAGGTGGCCATATTGGTATTTTGATTTGCACTAGAAATGTATGAAAACTTACTCTCAACTACAAGAGTAAATTTCAGCTCAATGTCTCAAAAAATTATTGAGTTATAGAAGCTGTTGAGTTCTATCAGGCAATTTGAATGAGAAAATAGGCTTCTTTGTTTGTAAATTACGTCGCCATGGTAACTTGAGATGCCAATAAATGTCATAGAACACATCACGGTGATGAGCCGGTTGTTTTGACATAACACTTGTGGGGGTATACGTTGCAGTTCGGGCCACATTAAAGTTGACGGAAAGTGTACAAGATATACAGTAAAGTCAAGAAACCCTAAGTCAGGTGGATAATAATAGGTGGCTGCCCCAATAAAAAAAAACGTGCGGAAAATTACTAAAGAAACAAAAATAAATTGTTTATTTTATCAGAAGTCTAGTGATAATACTAGAAATAAAAACAAGTTTTAACACAATTTTTCTGCTTCCCATCTTTCAACACAACAAAGAACACACATTTTAAACGACATGCTTTCAAACGTTGTTCTTTTACTTACAAACATGTACAACACCTTGTGAATAAATATTTACAGCTCTGAAAAGACATTCATGACTCTGACGGAGGTAGAAAATTGCTCTGAGAAGCTTCTGAAACTTTACATTTCAACAAAGCAAGCTTCACTTCCGCTCCATAAACTCCTACGCTGGACACACAAACACAATTCTATTATTTTTTATGGGACACGTTTAAAAGAAATCCTAGTTGGATCGGTCAGAATTCAAATAATATTCCAAATGTGTTCAAGTAAAACAGATAGCAACAAGACAATCACCTCTGTGGCATACATAGCATACGTTGTATGGATTCAATGGCATGTTTTAAACATTAACTTTAACACTTATTAATCACAATTATCACAAGAACATTACACATTCGTATTTTTAGACCTGTGAAGATTATATTTACAGTTGAGGACTCTTAACATTTTCTCTCTCTGCTGTTAAAAAAAATTACAAAACAAAATAAAGGAGGTTGTTGTTAAAATTGTGTGTTGAACGTATCACTCAAAGTTGTTTTTAAAACGAACAAAACAATAAAAAAATCGAGTTAATACACATTTTAATCACATTTAAGTATCTGCTCAGATCAAACACTTAAATATGTGTAAACTATTGCAGCTTCCATAAAACTAAATGTAAACTAAGTGTAACAGAAAAGTCCTCCAAACATCAGGACCAACTGCAGAACACAGATTTTTCCAGCTCTGTTTGACAGATCGCAGCGTTCGGAGAGCTAAAGCAGAGTGGACACAAAGAAAGTGCAGGTTCATGGAGGTGAAATACAGTTCCAGGGAAAGTGCCATGAAAGAAAACGAACATAGAGAAATCAATCCCTTCTGATAGTCACAAGTTTGGACCTCAGATATTTATCTCACCCCTGTTAATGCTTTTGAGGTTTTATCAGGAAGTCATTTAAAACAGGCAAACTATTCTTTATAATCTTATCATAATTCTGCCCCGAGTGAGACCCTTCAGTATCAGAACCAGGCTTTCAGACTCGGGGCGAACAAAGTTCAGTTTGTTTTCTCGGGTTTTGTTTGGATGTGTGGCTCTCGTTGCTAATGGAAAAGATATTAGCAATGCTAATATTTAACTGAAAGCCCACTAATGCTTTTTATGGTGCGTTTTTCAGAAGGTGTGTTATTCAACTTATATGGATCAGGTGTGCTCATCCACAGAAAGAATCTCCATTCATGTTTTCTAAAGCAGCTGCATAGCCAGAATTGAAAGTTGGTGGGCCACCCATTTAAATACAACTTGTAACAGGAACAGGATCAATGTTTGCTTGTATGTTGACCTCATTTTCTACAATACTGGGTCCCGAACTTTCAGTTTCTAACCCGTGAAAAAAACTGCAGCAGAAACTTGTGACAAAAACAATAAAAATGTCACAAGGTTTAATTTAAAACAAGCTATTTATTTTAAAACAGCTTGAAAAATGAAACTGAGGTCATGATTTGCACAAATTAAAGCGTTTTAAAATTCAAAAAGTTGGCTTATTTAAGTTTCTGAAAGTTACGTTGAACGGTGTGAATAGTTGTAGCCCGTCAGCAAAACTTGCTTTATTTTAGGTTAATTCATTAGTAGCCTAAAACGTTCTTTCTTTTCAAAGTTATTTATACATAAAAAGAAAGAAAAAGAAAATTGTAAGCTATTTGAGTGGTTAGGCCCTGTCAAAAAGAGGGTGGGACTAGATCATGCCATGCCCTTATATAGCAACGCCCACTCTTAACCACGCCCCCAGTTGAAAAACTACTGTATTAAAAAAAAAAAATGCCCGATTGGCTTTAAAACGCAGCAAAAAGAAGGAAAAAAGAAAAGTATAAGCTATTTGAGTGGTTAAGCCCTGTCAAAATGAGGGTGGAACTAAGTCATACCACACCCATATATGGCCACGCCCACTCATAACCACGCCCCTGGTTGAAAAATTCTACTGTATTTGTTTAAAAAAAATGCCTGATTGGCTTTAAAATGCAGCAATTTCTTTTAAACTTTAAATATTTTTTTAACTGCTGCAAACTACAGCTTTGTGTTTTTGTGCGGACATATAATTTTGAAAATGCAGTGACATTAACATTTTAGATGTTTGTCTGATCAAACTTCTTTTAAAGGTGCCTGATGATGCTAGCTGATTGTCATCTATTCTGAATAAGTTATCTGAGTAATGCTTGAAGTCAAGTTCTTTCTGATCAAAGTGCCTGATGGTAACTTAAAAAGAAAAAATTCAGATGTGAATATCATTACAACCTGTTGTGTTCTTAGTACTCTTTGGTTAAAACACCAAATAATTTGATTTTTCACTATTCCAAACTTGAAAGACTTTTTTTACATACTCTCCTACTACATGTTCATGTGATGAAACAAAACAATATACAAAGTATACTAATCAATGCATCATGAATCTATGACATTGGTGTATTGAGACAAACTTATCCAGCATCTTCGTCCCTGCTCGACAGCGGGTAGAGATTTGAACAAACAGCAAATGCAGCATTTTGTCAACTTTCCATAAAGGAATTAAAGGCCTAGCATGCCTTGAATCATATCACTCGCTGCCTTTCATGAGTTTTAAACTAAGAGCATCTTATGATGAGAAAGACAGAGTTAGTGATGTAAATGACGTTATGTGCAATGTACGAGATTTTGCGAGATATGTTAACTCTTGGAGTGTGTGTTGAAGATAATGGTCAGCGATCACCACAAGTTTTAGCTCAATAGTTGTAAAATTGAGTTACAGTAGATCTTTTTATGGGTTTGCTGTGATTGATCAGTTATGGCAACCATCTTGAACTGGGTTGATTTCAGAAGTTAATCAGTTGCAGATGTACATCCAGTTATTACTTTATGAGTTTCATTACAATCTGTCCACTGGGTGCTGAAAAAGAGTGATTTGGAAGGAAAAATATTTGTGTTACTCTTTTAAAGTATTTCGTTTTTAGCTGCCAAAACTTGTAAATGTGTATAAAGTTCAATAATTTATCCACCCCTTCTGCTGCCATTGTGTCAAAATGACCAATGAAGTTTCAGTTTTAAAGCTGAGGATGTGTGGTCATTTTGACCCAAGGGCAGCAGGAGAGCTAAAGTAGTACTATTTTTAGCTTGAAATTACTTTCCATATGCATTTAGAAATTTTTAAGATAGTTTGCTTGTTGCTGTGATTGTGATCAGTACTCGTCATTCAGACATCAGCAGGGTTCTTTGCATTTTAAAAAGATGCACAATTCTTCCAGCACTCACTTAAAGTTGAAAGATAATCCTGATTTGAACATGATGCAGTTCAAGCTGATAGCTAACACTAGCTGCCTGTGCATCCCAGTCTATCACAAAGATGTGCACATGATCCATTCTCTCAGCACAAAACATAAGGAAGTGAGCCATTTTGTCTGGAATCCAAGTGATGTGACTGTAAAGTGTCTATTTGTGCAGGTATGAAAATTATTTGCTCTGCTGGTAGGTACAAGATTGTGGCTTCAAAAGTCACAAAAGATGTTCACAAGTAAGTTGGTACCATTAGTTTGTTAAATATTGTTCTATTTCCAGTTTTTAACTTTTAGTTCATTTCAATTATGCCTTCTTTTTTTTTTACATTCTCTAAGACTTTGTTTTTCAGTTTTATTCCTCAACTGAAAATAGAATATTTTCTGGCATCAGTTCTAGTTTAGGAAACGTTATTCAACAGCGTACAGGAAAGGAATGGAACTTGAGTTCAAATGGGTTAGAGTTAGAGTTTAAACCAGTGGTTCCCAACCATGGTCCTTGCGGAATGCCATTCTGCATGTTTTAGTTGTTTTCCTGCTCCGGCGCAACTGATTCAGTGATATTATTTCCTCAAGTTTTGCCAAAGTCTGTTAATCCCTTTTCATTCAAATCAGGTGTGCCAAAGCAGGGAAACAACTAAAACATGCAGAATGGCGTTCCTCAAGGACCATGGTTTGGAGGCCACGGAACTCTTCCAAAAAAACATGTTTACTAAATCAACACTCAAGTGTCATAATTTGAATAACTTTGGTTTAAAATGTTTCATCGTTTGTTCTGTGGATGCATTTGGTTATTTCACGCTAAATATGAAACTAGTCTGGCCCTTGTATGTCTGATAAGTGAGTTACAGGCCAGATCAAGCTCCAGTGGTAATCAGAAAACACAGATTAAAAACAATAAAAACCCCACAGTAACACTGATTAAATATCATCTCTGCAGCCTCATAAATTAGCAACGACCAAGACTTTTGAGTTGATGACCTAAACAAATTAGTTGTTGATGTGCTCTCAGTTCAAGCTCTGATGTCTTTTTCATACAGTATTTGGTCAAACAATCGAAGTACGATTTTCCTTACAGTTCGTACTATCGGAGCTCTTGGTCTGCCAGCTGGAGAGCGAACCTGGAGCCACATCTAGAACTTGCTCAGAACTAGTTGTCGGCAGCGCAAGAGTTAGTGAGCTGTCGTGAACTGAGCTATCCTGAGTGTCTTTCCGTCTTGATGTTTGCTGGTTGTCCAGCCCTCTGGCACTGTCCACATCCGCATTCCCATTCTGTCTACGCAGGGACTTGGAAAAGTGATTTTTCACACTGCACCATCCACATGCTGCCCTCCTTCTCAAGGGTCCTCCCTTACCCCTTAAATGGAGTATCTCCTGGATGGCGTGTCTGAAATCAGGGCTGCGGCAGTAGATGAATGGGTTGAAGGCTGAATTGGAGTACCCGATCCAGTTGAGGAGTTGAAATACCTTTGTAATGTCACCAAGATCAACTAAAGATATGATGATGTTGAGGATGAAAAAGGGCAGCCAACAAAATGTGAAAGTACCCATGATGATCCCTAGAGTTTTCACAGCCTTTTGCTCTTTAAGACAGAACTTAAGACGCTTTGTAGCAGAATGCTTTCCTTCCCCTTTTTCTGTTCTTGTTTTACTTTCTCCATCCTTCTCTTTATCGTCTGTTTGCTGCATGTTTAAACTGTCCTCCCCTGCAGGTTCTTCCGCATCTGTTCGTGCCCTGTGTTTATTCAGTGCAGGGCTGTCGTCTGGATAAGTTCGCTGTGCGGAGTTGTGCAGATTGTATAGGTGTCTCTCCCTGCCCCTGATCTTTTCCAGCTGTTTCTGAGCCTCCTGGAATACACGACTGTAGAGGAAAATCATCACCACCAGTGGCAGGTAGAAAGACACAATTGAAGAAGACACTGCGTACTCTGGTTTGGTGTGAAATTCACAGCAGTTCTCATCGGCCAAGCACTTTAAGGCCTGTGTTTCGTTCTTCACCCACACTTCCAGAAAAATGGGCAGGAAGGAGATGAGGGAGGCCACTGTCCAAACGGCAAGCACCACTACGATTGCCCGACCCCTGCAGCATCAGGAGACAAGAAGAATACTGAGTGCAGAATCAAGACAGCTGCTGTATTATTGAATTTCTCATGTTGATTGTACAAAACTGTAAGTAGCCAGAAAAAAATTTAACCACAGGATGTTCTGTTAACATTATATAAGTATATACCATATATCACCAGAAAAGGAAGACAGGGGTATTGACTGTACCAATGAATTAACCTTTTTAGGCAGTATCTAACTGAGGAGCAAGTGTTGTCATTGTCAATGCCAATTTATTTATATTGCACATAAAAACAACAACAGCAGACAAAAGTGCTTTACAGTTAAGACAGATAAAAATAGTAAAAAATGCATCTACTGCCACTCAAAAACATAAGAAAGTTAACAGTAAATACATTACACAACAACAACAATAAAAATCAGCTCAAAATTTGTTCTCAGACTGCGTGGATCAAATGCCAAGGTATACAGATGAGTCTTAAGCAAAGATTTAAATGTCTCAACAGTCTGAGCAGTCTTTAAATTCTCGGGTAAACTGTTCCACAGTTTTGGAGCAGCAACCGCAAAAGCCCGATCACCTCTGGATTGCAGTTTGCATCTGGGGACATCTAAGGAACTGGTTGGAGGAACTGGTTGGTAGACCAGAGTGCTCTTACTGGAGTGTAGATGTTAATAAGATCACATAATGTTGGGAGTCTAGTTGGCTCCAAATTGCAGAAACACTGCAGGAAAATAGGCATAACTTTGTTGCAGTTTCTAGAATTTCTGAGCGTTAGCAACCAAGTGACCAAGTGGTGCAACATTTAATTCAGTCATTCATTCATTCAACCTTTATTTATACAGGTTAATCCCATTGAGCCTCGGGACTCATTTACAAGAGAGACCTGAGACCCTTTATAGCTAGTTTCTGAATATAACAGCCTGTATGTGTATGTGCGGCTTGTAAAACTATATTCTAGGCTGTTTTTTTGTTGTTGTTGTTATTTACCATATGGACTGCAAATGGACTGCACTTATATAATGCTTTTCTATCTTATCACTCAAAGCACTTTACAACACAATCTGTGTACTCATTTACCCCTTCACACAGCACTCTACTATTTCTATACAAAGAATAATCAGTGCTTTGTCACATTCATACACCGATGGGACACACATCGGAGGCAATGAGGGGTTCAGTGTCTTACCCAGGGACACTTTGGCATGTGACTGCTGGTGGAATCGAACCCCCAATTCTTGCATTGGATGACGACTGCTCTAACCACTCAGCCACCCCATATCATAACCACTTCATCTTGTTTTGTACCCACCTGGGCAGCCTCCCCAACATTTATGTTTTAATCTGCTGGAGCACACTGTTAAAGTAGACCTGAATTCAGATATTCCCAGATGTTGC